TATAGTGGTTCCACCGAGAAAAAAAGTGTGTATATTAAAAAGAAGAGAAGAGAGGTGCCGCAAACAATTTTGGTTGTAATGTGGATTTAAAAAAAAAAAATGTTTTATTTTCCATAATTTTACTACACGTGCTTCTGGTCTCGCAACTGTCTTCAGGTAAAAGGCAGAGATTTATACATATTATTGAAAATAATTAATTTTTTCCTTATGTTTTTGATGTTAAATATTCTCGATATGAGACATTATCTGTTTTCGTGTTAGTAATCCGAATGTGTTTATATATATATATATATATATATATATATATATATATATATATATATAATTAATAAGAAGAAAGAAACCGCAAACGTTTTTTTGCTGTAATGTGGATTTATTTTAAAAAAATATTATGCTTTATTTTCCATAATTTTGCTACACAGGTTTCCGTTCTCGCGACCTTCATCACGCAAAGCGAGGAGATTTTTCACATATTAAAAATAATTTTTTTTATTATGTTTTTCGATGTTAAATATTCTCGATATGATACATTCTCTTTTTTGTGTGTTACTGATCCAAATGTCTTTCTTGAACTGGCAGTGAAAATTTCTGCGTGAAGGTCCGAGAAATGGTGAAGAATTCTTATCTTTTAATGACCTCTGTGTGTTCTTAGATCTATTTCTATTTTCTTGTATTTTTGTCATCATGCATGTATATATGTATATTCCCTCGCGGTTTCTCTCTTCTTTTTAATATACACACTTTTCTCTCGTTGGAACTACTATAATCTCTTCCCTTTATATATATATATATATATATATATATATATAGTGAACATACAGTCCAAAGTTACATAAATATTTGCTACAAAAAATAAATGCACATTAATTATCTGAATCTTCGCTTAGAAATATTATAAAGAAATACACTACCCCAATTGACCCGAATAAAAAAAATCAAATTTATTATCTACTACAAAAAATTAAAACAGCTAACCTTCCTCTAAAAAATAACAACACACCAGAAAAGTCAATATTACAACGAACAAACATTATGAGTTCAAATGCTCCTTAATGATCCGTGTTC